GTTGTGCCTAATCGTTATACCTGGCACAAGGACGTATGATGGAGGTGTTGAGCACAATTTCCTTGACACAATCGGTCTCCACATACAACAATCTCCCACTTGGAGACTGATTGCTTCCAATTTTTCTCCTTTACATGAGTATCATCTTCATAGTAATGTATTGTAGTGTGGCACTACTCTAATTTTAATCTTTCTGAATTCTATATAAAACCAAATATAGCTTAAGTTTCTTAATTGTACAACCTTAGTTAACATATCTGGAAGATTTTGAGCTGTGTGTATCTTCTTCAAAGATAAACGACCATCTTCTAGCAATGAACAAATGAAGAGATACCTTAGCGGAATGAGCTTCGTCCTGGCATAAAAAATGACATTCTTTGCTAGATGAGTAACACTCATACTATCACTATGAAGTATTCTAATCTGTTGTTCCTTATCCAGTTTTTTCATAAAGCTTTGTAGCCAAATTATTTCCTTACTAACATCAATGAGCAATGTAGTCAGCTTCTGTAATTGAAAGTGTAACAATCTTCTATAATTTTGAAACTCAACTCATAGTTGTGATCCCCAAAATGAAGAAAATCTAAAAAAAAGTTGTTTGTGACAGATCTGAATTTAAATATCACCTGAATTTACATATCCTCATAGATTAATTCTTGTTACCTATCCCTCTCAAGTATTTGATAATCCATTATACATAAACTCAACTCACTATTTTAAAGTCCAAAATAAAGACTGCCCAAATTATCTCCTGTCCTACCACCAATTTTTTCTGTCAAATCTGAATTTACATATCCTAGTAGATTAATTCTTGCGCTCTAAAAAAATTGTTTTATTAGCTATTCCTTTCAAGTATTTGATAATCCATTTCACTGCCTCCTAATAGTATTTGTCTGGATTACTCATGTAGCTACTGATCACTCCCATTGCTTGTGTAATGTCTAGCTTTGTACATACCATTGCATACATCAGATTTTTAATTGTTAAAACATATGAACTTCTTTTCATCTGTGCTTGCTCTGCTTCAGGCTTAGCTAATTAGTTCTTAGATAACTTAAAATGACTAGATAAGGGGGTGTAAATTGGTTTTGCCTCACTCACGCTGAACCTGTCTAAGACCTCAATATTTTCTATCTAGGAAAACTTCAAAATACTTGTACTCCTATCTCTATTGATTCTCATTTTGATGATTTTCTTAGTTGGAATTAAATCTTTCATTTCAAATTCCTTAATAATTGCTCTTTCAAGTTTCTGATCTTCTTCATATTTATTCTCATAATCAACATGTCATTCACATACAAAAAAAAAGTACAATATAACAAATACAAAACTATTTGATGAAGCAACGATGATCTACTTGGCACTTCATATACCCATTGTCTGATATAAACCTTTCAAATCTCATGTACTATTGCCTTGGGGCACGTTTCAAATCATAAATATTCTTTTTCTGTCTGCAAACCTTGTTTTCTTTTCCTGGAACTTTATATCCATATGACTACACCATATTTTGTTTCTCTTCTAAGTCATTATTTGTGAAGGCTGTCTTCACATCCATCTATTCCAAATGTTGATCTTTCTCTACTACCAAGCTCAATACAACTCTAATAATTGTCATCTTCATTTTAAAAGAAAATTTTTCACTATAATCTACTATTTCTTTTTGCTGAAACCCCTTTCCAACAAGTTTCGTCTTCTAGCTTTTGCTACCATATGACTCTTCTTTCGGCCTAGAAATCTACTTAATGTACAGTGCCTTTTTCATCTGGTAATTTTGTCAAATTCCATGTATAATTTGACTTTAGTATGACAAACTCCCACTTTTTGAGACTCTTCAACTTGAGTGGCATCTTCATAGTGCTTTGGTTCATCATCATATGTTAATAATAAATAGTACAAAATAGGAGTACTTTTATATCTTTTTTTTCTGATTTTGTCGGACTTTCTAGATTTAGTAGCAGGTGTCTAGGAACATCTTATGCTTCATCAGATTGAACACCTTTCTTTTCTTTATCTTTCTGATCACCTGTATTTTTTATCTTAACATATTTGGAAGGCTCTTTTAAAGTAATTGATGAAAAATTTTGAGTTATGTATGTATTTATACATCTTTATTTTATTGAAAATAATATCTCAACTCCTAATGAATTTCTTATTCTGATAATCCAAGAATTTGCGCCCAAATTTATCTAAGTTATACCTAATGAAAGTGCACTTGACAGATTTTAAATAAAGCTTACCCCTAGATTCTGAATTAACATGAACATATGATGAACATCAAATATTTTCGGGTAAAATAAATTTACCTCTTTTGTCACTCCAGTCTTCTTTAAGTAAGCTTTTATCTAAAAGTGCTGACGGATCATATATTATTTGTTAAACTACAAAATTCAATGTTTTTGTGCAGAAGTGCTTTGGCAAGCCTACAATCAATGGCACGCTCTGTAACAATTTTATTCATGCGTTTAGTCATTCATTTTGCTATGGTGACATTTGAACAATAAACTCATGTCTGATTCCTTAAGAAATACAATAACTCTTAAACTTTTGATCACAATATTTGTCATCATTATCTGATCTGAGATAATGCAATCTCAAGCATGTCTTATTTTTAACCATGATTTTTCACTTCTTAAACACCTCAAATGCATCTTATTTATGCTTTAAGTTCATCCATACATTCCTATTAAAATAACAATATTGAGAATCTCCAATAAACTGAATTGGAGTTGGACCCCATAAATTCATATGCATTAACTCCAGTTTTTTGGATTTCATCTATAACTCACTTTTAGAGAAAATAATTTTTTTTTTCTTGCCATAAACACAATCTTTGCAAAAATCTAAATTTATAGAATTAAAATCATAAAGTTTATTTTTAGAAAGGATCTTCATATCTTTCTCACCATATGACCAAACCTCCTGTGCCATAGATCTGCATCATCTTTTACTCCAACAACAACAATTGATTCATACATTTCATTAATAAAGAAAATGGGGCATTCAATGTTTCCTTGAACCATCACAATTGTTCCTCTGATCACCTTTCATGAATCACCTGTGAAAGTAGACATTTCCTTACCTTGCAAGCTGGCTCAAAGAAATCAATTTTTTCTTCATACATTGAACACGTCTAACTTCATTGAGCTTTCAGACTGATCCATCTGCCAACCTGATATGAATATCACCCTTTCCAATAATACTGCATGCTTTGTTATCTTCGAAATACACATGCCTTAGATCACTTTGACTATAGTTTTTGAACACCTCTTTTTTGGGGCATGCATGAAAATAGGCACCCGAATCTACTATTCATGATTCAGTACTATCTAGGGACAAAATCAGAGAGTCCTTTTGATTAATCCGTGAAGGCATTCGTAGAGAGTTTCCTATCTGGAGCTCCACCGCCAACTTTTTTATTTTTGCAGTCCTTGAAGTGTCTTTTCTTCCCGTAGTTTCAACATTCACCTTTGTTTTTTTTTTCTCTTATTGATCTAGACTTTTCTCTAATAAACTCGAATCTTTCCCTGTTGGTGTTTCTATCCACATTCTTTCCTTTGTTTTCAACTTTCAAAGCAAAATTTAAAGTTTCATCGTTCACCTTCTTATGGATTTTTTCATTTAGCATCAACCCTATAATGTCATTAAAATTTAACTTGATGTTACTTGAGGAGTTACTCTTGATAGTGACTAGTTTAAATAAGAGTAACAATGTTCTGACCTCGTCATTGAACTTGATGTCAATAGAACACAACTTATCAATCACAATGTTGCAGTTTTTCAAAGGCTTAGCCGCTAAACTACCATCCACTATCCTTATATTAAACAATCTTTTCAAAAAAAAAATTATTTGATGCAGAAAGCTTCTCATACATCATTGTCAGGCAGTCATGAGATCAACTGTAGTTTTCTTATTCACTTGTTGAAAATAAAAAATTTGAAAAATGAAAGATGGATATTTCCTACTCTTCAAGAGTCATCAATTTTGGCTTTTTGGTGATTCATTCCAACGACAAATACAGTTTTATTTGATCCAATAAAAAATTAATTTGCATTTTTTTATAAGGCAAAATTTGAACTCTTGAACTTCTTCATATTGTAACTTGCTTTATAGGCCATCACTTCCACTCGAATTACAGATCTTCAGAAAATTCCACTTTAATACCACTAGTTGTGAGGAAAATCATAGAAACACTGATTCAAGAGTTCGAATCAAAAGTATGAACATAAGCGCACAAACAAGGAAACTTACAACTTCAGTATGCACTCATTCTTTTATTTGCTTCCTTTCTCGAACTGAAGAAATTCGGTTCCAGGCACCAAAGCTGGGCACCGAGCGTTTGAGCGCTTATATTCTGAAACTAGAAATGTGCTTATTCGGGCGTTGGGCCGCCTCTGCTGGCACTGGAGCATCCAACCATGCTCTGGGGTGCCCCAATTGTAGCGTTCAGGCACTGCAACCAGGCACAAAGGTGCCTGGTGCAAGTGTTGGGTGCAATTTCTTTGACACAATTAGGCCCCACATATAACACATTTTATCTCAAAAAACTCAAGAGGTAACTCTTATGGCAGAGTACTTTGTCCTGCATCAAATTTAATTGCCATCTTCTTGTTGGTATATTGCTTTTATGCCAGATTTTTATCCATTGAGATATTGTCCGTTTTAGCATACTAGCTCTTAGTTTTATCCATTTGGCGTAGTTTGTTAGTAGACCACTTACCTCAAGAATGTTATAGCATAAGCATGCTTAACTATAAAATTCTTAATGAAACTCAAATATTACATAAAAAATACTTTGATATTTAAAAGTTCTATTTCATTGCACTAATGGATGTTACAAATTAGCATTCATACGACCGGTTCAAATAGTCAGGACATAACTAATTATGTGATGATTACAGTTGACATCAATAATATATTAAAATTAGATAATTTAAACCCTTTTAAGTTTAACATAATTATATAATAATTTCTTTTACTTTTCTTATTCATGATGCAGCTTGGTTTCGACTCTATATTTTTTGCAAGGATTGATTATCAGGACAGACAGAAACGCAAGCAAGACAAATCTCTTGAAGTCGTGTGGCGTGGTTCAAGAACTTTTGGTCCTTCCTCCCAGGTACTTAGTTTTCTGTATTCACGTACATGTTTTCTTGAAGATGTTTTTTGTTTATTGATGGAGATTGTGGATACTCCAGATTTTTGCAAGCGCCTTTCCTGTGCATTACAGTCCTCCAGGTGGATTTCATTTTGAAGTCAATGATAATGACACTCCTGTCCAAGTATGCTGTTTAAATGCACTAATTCCTTGTTATATATATCCCCAAGTTTTCTGAATTTTTTTTTAATTTGCAGGATGATCCTCTTCTTTATGACTATAATGTTGATGAACGGGTCAATGATTTTATTGATGCTGCTTTAGCTCAAGTAAATGAGATGTGCATTTAACTTTACTTTTCTCAATTGATATCTATGCATGGCATCAATTTTTATACTATTGTAATTTAGAATTTACATTGCATTGCTATATTCAATACTTGAATGCTTACTGTCAGGCTAATGTGACACGAACAAATCATATTATGTGGACAATGGGTGATGATTTCCAGTATCAGTATGCTGAATCTTGGTTCAAGCAAATGGACAAGCTTATCAATTATGTAAACCAGGTACTTTTATCAGATCATATTGAAAATTATCATAAACTTTTTTATATTTTTGTTGAAATTCAGAATAATGTGGAATAATATTATTGATATGAAATATGGGTATAAATAAACCTTACATCAATCCTAAAATGGGAAAGACAGTAAAAACAAAATAAGATAAAATGAAAGATATAAGATCTATATCTCCAATGAATCAATTCATGTTAATTACTTGGATTTAATGGAAACAGCATAAAGCATAAAATAGGAAAGTAAATAAATTTAATCCTCATAATTTCTAGCAAAAATAAATTATTTCCTAATATAAATTTTAGCACCCCCTCAAGTTGAAACATGGTTGAATACCATGTTCAACTTGAATTTGAAAACATCAAACAATGTGTGAGGAAGATTATTTGCGAGGTAGAATTTGAAGTCTTCATCTCGTACCTAATAATCAATCCCAATAGTATTTAGTTGACTGCGGTGTCTGTAGGTGGGTGGAAGGCTTCTACAAACAATGCTGCAGGGAAGTATATAACTAACAGGAAAATCTGTAGGGTATAGCTAGAAAAAAAAAATAAAAAAAAAGAAAAGCTCCAGTGATCAGTGATAAGCCTGGCTGCAAGAAAAAAAAAGGAAGAGCTCCAAAGGTAGGCCTTGTTGCAGGAAAAGGCTTCGGAGGAGGGCTTGCTGCAGGAAGAATCCAGGTGGAGGCTTGCTGCAGGAAGGCTCCGGAGAGCCTGATACAAGAAAAAACTTTGGAGGAGGGTCTGCTGTAGGAAAAGCTCTGGAGAAGAGTCTGCTGCAGGAAAGATTTCGGAGGACCTGATTCAAGAAAAAGTTCTAGAGGGCCTTATGCAGGAAAAAGGCTCTTGAGGAGGGCCTGCTGCAGGAAGAATTCTTGTGGAGGACCTGCTGCAGGAAAAACTATAGAGGAGGGTCGATACAGGAAAAAGATCTGGAGAAGGGTCTACTGTAGGAAAAGCTCCGGAGAAGGGTCCGTTACAAAAAAAGCATTGGAGGAGGGTCTGTTGCAGGTAAAAGCTCCGAAGAAGGCCTGCTACGAGAAAAACATTCTGAAGGAGGCCTGCTTCAGGACAAAGTTCCAGATGAGGACCTGCTGCAGGAAAAAGTCCATAAGAGAGTTTGATGCAGGAAAAAGGCCTGGAGGACTTGCTGCATTAATGGCTTCGGAGGGTCTACAGTGAGGAGGGCTTGCAACGATATACTTCCGGATACATGGAAAGTTTCAGTGGCAAAGGAAAAAATAGAGGACCCGAATAGAGTTTTTCGGCAGTAGGGAGGAAATTGACGAAGAAGGGCATGTGGGCCGACTGCTGGGATTCCATTCAAGATACATCTAGTCTCGCCTTTGTAATAACCTTCCTCGAGTCGTTTTGAAAGCAAACCAAAGATGAACTCTTGTGTAATAAGTTTCCCTTCGTTTCCACAATCCATGCATGTGAAATGGCAGAGGTCGCCATAGAGGTGGCTGCCAGAATTTGGGACATGAAGGTGCCGATAAGGTTTGCAGTGAAGTTTTCCAGCCAACAAGATGATTTTCGGCTGATTGGGACTTGCAGGGAGAGCTCTGACCGTTCTGGGAGGAGGTCCAGCTGGCAAGAGTAGGTCAAATGTCTGGTAGGTATGCAGGTAAAGGGTGTAACTGCTTGAAATATGCAGGGTAGTTCCGGTGGCGGGAAGGACTGTAGGAGGGAGTGTCGGCGGTGGGAAAGGCTGTAGTTAAGTGCCCCGACGATCCTGAAAGGAGATAGGGAGGGAGGTCCAACGGCTAGAAAATCTTGCAGAAAGGATCAACATGTGGAACTTGCAGGGAAAATGGAGACGGGAGAACCAACAGGGAAGACATTAGGGAAAAGAGCTTCTCCTTTCTCTATTTCAGCTGGAAAGAGGAACTAATCCGGTAGGCATACTAGGATTTCCGCTATACAGAAAGTTGCTGCCTATGCACAACTCCGGGCTCAATCGATTCGTGAAGGAAGAAAATCGTGTGGAATCGCAGTAAAAAAGGAGGCAATGCTTCGGAGGGGCTATAGGGATCTACTCTGCCCGTGAGGGCCTGCAAATAGGTTGCAGGGAGAGAAAGCGTCCCTCCCTTCCTGCAGGGAGGATGGGGAGTTCGATGGCTATAGAGGAAGGAACAATCGCTAGGATAAGAAATTTGGCTCTGACACTATGTTAAAATTTAGAATAATTTGGAATAGTATTTTTAATATAAAACAGTGGTATAAATAACTCTTACATAAATTCTAGAATAGTAAGGATAATAAAAAAGAAATAACAGAAAACGAAAGATATAACGCCTACATCCTTATTAGTCAATTCATATTAATTACTTGGAGAAAAAAGAAACAACATAAATCATAAAATAAGAAATGAAATAATTCCAATCTAAGGAAATACATTTAAACCTCATAACTCTTAACAGGAATAAATTATATTTTAGTATAACTTCTAACGGTTTTATCCGGATTAATTATAAATTCTATAGATGAACACTAATTATAACAACAACAACAACAACAACAAGATCTTAATCCCACTACGTGAGGTCGGCTAAATGAATCCTTTTTCTTCATTGTGTCATATTTAGTGTTATATTTTCTTTTAGTTCTAATAAATTATAATCATTTTTTATATAATAAGCCCAAGTTTTCCTAGGGTCTACCTCTGCCTTTCTTAACATAAGTTGAATAAAAAACATCTACATTCCTAAGCGGATCATCAGATGATCAACATTTAATGTGACCAAACCATTTAAGAGGAGCTACACCATTGTCCGTCATTGGAGCTACACTAACCCTATCACAGATATATTCATTTCGCATTTAGTCTCGAAGTGTAAAGCCACTCATCGACATGATCATTCTCATCTCGACAACATTTAACTTAGTATTATGCCTCTCTTTTAAAGGCCAACATTCAGCGGCATAGAGCATTTCAGGTCTCTCCACTCTCTTATAAAATTTTCCTTTCAGTTTAAGCGATAATTTTCTATCACACTAAAGGCCCGAAGCATTCCTCCACTTCAACCAACCAACTTGAATTCTACTATTAACATCCCCATCTTTATCACCATCGCTTTGAACAAAAGACTCAAGATATCTAAATCATTCACACTTTTTAATAATTCAATCACCATTGTTAAAACCCCACCACTAGATCTCTCTCACTAGAGCTACTACTCATTCACACTTTTTAATAATTTGATAACCCAAAGTTACACTTCTCTCACTAGAGCTACTACTACTAAAATTACATTCCATGTATTCAATTTTAGTTATACTCAAATGAAGGTCTTTAGACTCCAATGTGGACTTCCATAATTCAAGTTTTTCTTGAACTTTTTCTCTCGTCTTATCCACGAGAAGGATATCATCAGCAAAAAGCATATACCAAGGTACATCTTTTTGTAAATGTCCAGTAAAACCATCCATAACTAAAGCAAAAAGACATGGGCTTAAAGCTGATCTCTGATGTAATCCAACAGAAATAGGAAAATATTTGGTCAATCCTCCTTGAGTTCGAACACAAGTAACAACTCTAGTATATATATCTTTAATGACTTGAATATAAGTCTTATCAACACATTTTTTTCTCAAAAACTCTGCAAAGGATATCTCTTGGAACCTTATCGTAAGCTTTTTCTAAATCAATAAAAATCAAATGTATGTCCTCCTTATTATCTCTGAACTTACCCATCAAACCTCTCAATAAATGTATAGCTTCCATGGTAGATCTGCCCGGCATAAATCTAAATTGATTATGAGAAATCTTTGTAATACGTCCTTATGAGAAATCTTTGTAATACGTCTTAATCTATGTTCAATTACCCTCTCCCAAAATTGTAAAGTATGATACATCAACTTAATTCCTCTATAATTTGTACAGTCTTGTGCATACACTTTATTCTTAAAAGTAAGTACCAAAATACTCTTCCTCCACTCCTCAGTCTTCTTTTTAGTTTTTAAAATAATATTGAAGAGTTTAGTAAGCCAAGAAACTCCCAAATCTTCTAAATATTTTCACACTTCAATTGAGATATCATCAGGTCCTGCAGACTTTTCAATTGTCAATTGAGATATCATCAGGTCCTGCAGACTTTTTACCCTTGATTTTTTTTAAAGTTTCATCAACTTCATTTTTACTAATGCGATGATAAAAATGAAATGTTTTGTTATTATTAACGATATTAATATCACTAATATCCATTGTATTTTCAGAAACTTCATTAAAAAGTTTATCAAAATAACTTACCCACCTATGTTAGAATATATTTTTCTAAAAAAAACACTTTTTGATTTTCATTTTTAATATACTTTATTTGAGTTAAATCTTTATTTTTCTTTTCTCTTTATTTCGTTAGTTTATACATATATTTTTCACCCTACTTAGTATCTAATCTATTATAAAGATCACTAAAAGAAGAATTTTTTGCGTCACAGATTGTTCTTTTAGCTCCCTGTGGGCCGTTTAATATTTTTCTCAGTTTTCTCTAAGATTTTAAATTTAAACCATTTTTTATAACATAACTTCTTATATTTTATCTTTTCTTGCAAATTATTATTCCACCAACTATTTTTATTTATAGGAATTTTTCATTTTGATTCTCCAAGTTCATTTTTTGCTACTTGTTTCATAGTGTTTGTTACTTTATCTCACATAGGATTTGATTCTTCATGAACATCCCAAATTTTGAAATATTGAATTTTACTCATAAAAATAATTTTATTTGTGTCTTTTAAGATCTCCCATCTAATTCTACAATGATGAGTCGTAGTATTCTTTGTTTTACATCTCTTCATCTTAAAATCTAGAACTAATAGTCAATGTTGGGTACTTAAATCCTCACCTGGAATGACCTTACAATCTTTACAATTTCGACGATCTATTCTTCTTATAAGAAAATCAATTTCTGTTTTATTAGATCCATTCTTATAAGTAATAAGATGTTCATATCTTTTCTTGAATAAAATATTAGTAATAACAAAATTATA